TCTCTCTCTCTCTCTCTCTCTCTCTCTCTCTCTCTCTCTCTCTCTCTCTCTGTACGCTATGTTGTCTATATCGGTTACAACCGTGCGTCCGGTTGTCGTGGACCTCCATCCCATTTACAGCCCTCGTTCTCATTTAGATTCAATTGTAGAGAGTAATTGCAATGCATTATTTAAGGTTTGGCATTCCAAGCATTCTAGCCAAGGGAAATAACCTAGGCTCTCTCTCTGGTCACAAAACCATTTTTTCTCCCTTGTTACTAACTCCCGATCGTGACTGATGGCAGTAGAAAAGAGACCTATCAAGAAGGTAAATGAAAAAGTAAATAAGTGTTAAGACAAAGAATGATAGTCCAGATACAAAGACTTGAATATATTATCAGCAAACCGGCCCATTGATAAATGAAAATAATCAATCAATCAATCAATCAACCAATCAATCAATCAACCAACCAACCAACCAATCAACCACCCAACTACCCAACCACGCACCGAACCACCAACCCAGCCACCCAACCAACCAACTGACCAACCAACCAACAAGTCAATCAATCAATCAATTAATTAATCAATCAGTCAAACAGTCAATCAATCAATCACTCAATCTAACAAGCAATGATTGGTCCGTTCTCACTTTGTAAAAATCGTTCTTGATGTTGCGGTACTTTCGTGGCAGATTAGGTATCCGTCTCATGAGGTTGCGCCAGATCAGGTAATTCATGACCACCCTGAAGAAATGGGATTTCAAAATACCAACATGATTTGAATCAGTCAAAATCATTTAAAAGTTCAAGTGATTCTAAAGATCGAAGTGATTTTGATAGATAAGATACATGATTTTAATTCAAAGTTGAATTTTCAATAGCGATTTTACACAGATATTTGATGATGATGACGATTTTTTGTTTCCTTAATGGGCCTGGCGGACTCCACGAAGAAATCTTCGAGCGAGAGCGAAGCTCTTTAAAATTCGGCTCCATTGTCAATATGCTAAGCGGCACCTCCACTCGTCCAAATAACGCTTCGAACTGCCATTGTTCCTGGACATTCAAACACTATGTTTGACTTCCTCTTTTTCATGGCCGCATATTCGGCAAAATAGGCTGAGCTCTTCATTTACAAAGTTCTTATACCATCTTAAGCTCCAATGATGGTCCGACCGCAGTCTCGCTAGCTCAACCTGGTCCCAGCGACATGTGATATTTTGTTCCCGCTTATAGGAGTACCCAGAATACACATCTTCCTGGTGCTGATACTTAGCTCTGCATGGTGGGTCTCTGATTTCCCTCTTGATCAT